GGCGAGGAGAGGAGGAGACTGAAGGGGCGAGGTGAAGAGGAGACTGAAGGGGTGAGGCGAGGAGGAGACTGAAGGGGTGAGGTGTGGAGGAGACTGAAGGGGTGAGGTGAGGGGTAGAAAGATAGATTTGTGTGTCATCAGCATAGAGATGGTACTTAAAGCCATGGGAGTTTATCAAGTGACCAAGGGAGGAGGTGTAGGTGAAGAAGAGAAGGGGTCCAAGGACAGAACCTTGAGGGGCCCCTACAGAAAGAGGGAGTGAAGAGGAGGAGGCAGCGTTATAGGTAACACTGAAGGAGCGCTGCAATAGGTAGGAGGAGAACCAGGAGAGAGCAGAGTCTCTGAGACCAAGAGAGTGGAGTTTTTTGAGGAGGAGGGTCAACCGTGTCAAAAGCCGCAGAGAGGTCAAATCTTACGGCTTAATGTCCCTCATTCCCTAAAATCCACCTTATCTATGCAATTCCCTTTCATTTGGACTCCTTCCTCTATTACCTTCTTAGGGATGCAATTAACTGAGTCTCCAAATGAACGATTCCACCGTAATTCTCAACCCTTCCTAACTTGGCTTCCTCAACTCTTGGACGACCTTCGTACACAAGACTTCAGGTAGAATAGCGCACCTACAAATGATAATACTACCGAAGTCATTATATCTGTTTCGCACGCTCACCATGCCACTCTCAAATGCATTCTTACGCCAACTTCAAAAGATCTTCAACCGATTTGTGTGGAAACGTAAACCCCCTAGATGTTCCTTCAGTATGATGATGAGCCACAGGAAAAATGGAGGTATGGGTCTACCCAACATAACGCATTATTACAGGGCATGCGTTCTAGATCAGCTTGGACATTGGTGGACTCTTCTGGACCACAACATCTGGGCAAGCACTGAATCCTCAACACTTCCAATAGGAGATATGAAATCTTTGTTAATTGCCATTAAACTTGGAGCTCCGTATCCACCAATAAGATCCTTCCAATGCTTACAACCTTTAGAGTACGGTCGGATTTGAATCCTCCTTCCCTTTCAGCTGTACCCACACAGAAGGTTTTAGGCCCCTCTCGGTTTTGTACCATTTTATCCCACATACCAATCTCACGATGTGGCCATCTAATGGTGGAAAATATCTGGTGGACATACATGATGGTGACTCCCTGCTCACCTCGGAATGCATCAGAGACCTTCCCTCAAATTCCTTTTTTACATTTCTACAAATCCGGAAAGTTCTCCATGCTCTGCTGACACCAGGTGCGGACTGACAACTCATGGGGCCCCCGGGCAATAGGGGAACATGGGGCCCCTGTGTCCTTGCCCACACTCAAAGCACACCCAAAAAAGCCTATAAAAAGGTACCAGAGGCATTTCATGGGGCCCCCTACTGACACCGGGCCCTCGGGCAGTGCCCAAGTGCTTGAACGGTCAGTCCGCCCCTGCCTGACACCCATCTCATGTCACTACCCGTCTCGCTCCATAGATTCCTTCAAGAATCCTCTTACCCCATGAAAGGCATCTCACCGTTTTATAACTGGTATAACCAGACACATACTAGGCTCTACCTTCTCAGAAGAACCTTTCCTCTACATATTCAGCCTCTCACTGGGAAACATGACAAATCCATCCACCAACGGCATATTACACCTTACAAACTCTCCAGGTTCCATCCCACCCACAATGCCGGTGTTGGCGAAATTGTGGAGAAACCGGTTGTTTACATCATGTTAGGTGGCAATGCAAATCGGTAAGATTACTGGAATCAAATCTGCCATGTAGGATCTCTCATAATAGGAACCCCGACAGACCCTGACCCTACATTGGTGCCATTACACTTGAGGGTCCATGACTTCCCTCCCAACACTAGGCCGGTTCCCGTACATCTCTTTCTGAACTTACAGTTACTACATTGTGGAGCTCTAATCAATACCCTTCAGTCTCAGACTGTAGATCCACACGTGACCACCAATGTGAAATGCAGCAATTGTTGTCCATTACTTACATAGTTCCATAGTTAGTCTGGCTGAAAAAAGACAAAAGTCCATCCAGTTCAACCATAAAAAAAAAAAGTTATAATCCTACACCCACAGTTGATCCAGAGGAAGGCAAAAAAAACCCCCAGCAAAGCACGATCCAATCTCCTCCTGCAGGGGAAAAATTCCTTCCTGATTCCCCGAGAGGCAATCGGATATTCCCGGGATCAATAATCGGATATTCCAGGGATCAATAATCGGATATTCCCGGGATCAATAATCGGATATTCCCGGGATCAACGTTCCCTATAAATGTTCTATCCAGTTATATTCTGTGTATCCAAGAAAGGATCCAGGACTTTCCTACAGCAATCCACTGAGCTGGCCACACCCAACTCTGGAGGGAGTCTATTCCACATTCTCACTGCTCTTACTGTGAAGAAACCTTTCCGTGTTTGGAGATGACATTTCTTTTCCTCCAGACGTAAAGAGCGCCCCCTTGTCCTCTGTGATGACCTCAGGGGGATAGCTCTACGATTTGTAAGTTTCGAACATCATGGTCAGTATGGCTACAAAATCCGAAATGTACCGTTGCCCCAATCTGGTATTTGCCCCTATGTGTCTATAGGTTAAAGGTTGTGTTACCAAACCCACGGTTGGTTAGCTGATACATTCCCCCTCTGAGCTGTATCCCAATCTTCCCCCCACCCCCTCATCCCTCTTTCTACCCTCCCCCCTCTTACCTTCCCTCATTCCACCTTCCCCTCCCTTATATTTGTGCTCAGTGTGACACCAGAAGCCACGCTTTGCTGTATTGAACGGTCTATCTACCTGCTTACTTGTACAGGTCAAACCCTAAACCCACCCTGTGTGATTGAGGTCGGGTTATTGAAGGTCAGCTGGATGACTTAACAGGTTGTGGCTCTATCGCCTCCTCCTGACTCTGGAGGACCATAGAACCTTCCAGAAGTTGGTAAGCAGGAAGGGGTGGAGACCTAATCTGCATGTCTATGGGATTCTGACCAGGTTTGGAGGTCCTGATAGAGTATTAGACTGGCCCATAAATATGGGAGAGTCAGGCTGATGGGGGGGTGGGGTGGAAGATGAAGTGCTGAGGAGACTGTTGGTGTCTAGGAGGGGTCCCCTAGGTCTGGGGGGAGGCGGCCTCCAGGCTGGGCTCGGGCTGGCTCAGGAGAATACAGTCTCTGGAGAGGCGTGGATGGGATCAAGGTCTAGGAATAGTGGGGAGCAGAGAGGACAGAGTGAGTACAGGAGCATCCTCTGGGATCTATAAGAGGAAAGTCGGCCACGTGCAGCAAGATTTCTAAGGACAATCAATCCTTCATTCTTGTCCTGGGAATCTTCCGAGCAGCCTGGAGGGCTGGAGGAGCCTGCAGGCCGTGGAGCTGGGAGCAGCTCTATGGGGGGGAGAGAAGACATCTCTGCATGTAGCTAGGACAAGCTGATATTTGAGGAGCAGCTCGTTCCTCGCCCATAAAGGGGGGGCTGATACTGATCCCCAATGACTGGCGGCTTTCAGGAAAAGAACAGCCCAGGATCTGTACATAGGAGGGAAGTGTCCCCATTCCAGTGATTCAAGCCAAACTCTCCGTCCCATAATCCCTATTCCTGTCCAAGCTGAATTCCCCGAATAAAACAACAAAACCAAGTTCATGGACTGGTCTTCTCTGGATGCAAGTCTGTGTGAGAAATACCTGTTGCCTGGCTGTGCGGAGAGAAGCTGAGGGGACCCACCACACAGTGGCCCTCATGGGGGTGGCGCTACATTTCCATGGGGGTAGAATTGGCTGAAATATGAACGGTGACTTAACTGCCACTGATTGTCGGGTGATCTCTGCAGGAGATCCTCAGCGAGAGCAAAACTCCAAGAAAACGGCTTTCCCTTTGAAACGAGAACATCGTCTGTCAGATGCCGCTGTGGAGGGCTTCAGAGACGGAAAAGGATCTGCAACCTTCAGCTTCAAAGCCGCCAGTCTGGCCGTCTGTGGAGAGAGGAGTTCTCTGATCTGCAGGAAAAGGTCCCGATTGGTGGGAAATTCGAGGGAGGTTCACCCTTTAATTCATGAAAGTGGGAGGAATGAAGGCCGGCAAAACCAGAACAGATAGACCACTCTGACCATCGATCCCATGGGTTGTATACTGGGGGGATGTATACTGGGGAGACGTATACTGGGGAATGTATACTGGGGGGATGTATACTGGAGGGATAAGTACTGGGGGGATGTATACCGGGGGGGCATATTCTGGGGGGATGTATACTGGGGGGCTTATACTGGGGGGTGTGTATACTGGGGGGATGTATACAGGGGGGCATATACTGGAGGGATAAGTACTGGGGGGGATGTATACCGGGGGGACGTATTCTGGGGGGATGTATACTGGGGGGCATATACTGGAGGGATGTATACTGGGGGGCTTATACTGGGGGGATGTATACTGGGGGGCTTATACTGGGGGGATGTATACTGGGGGGCATATACTGGAGGGATAAATACTGGGGGGGATGTATACCGGGGGGGAGTATTCTGGGGGGATGTATACTGGGAAGACGGATACTGGGGAATGTATAAGGGGGGGGATGTATACAGGGGGGATGTATACTGGGGGGACCTATACTGGGGGGATGTATACTGGGGGGCATATACTGAAGGGATGTATACTGGGGGGATGTATACTGGGGGATGTATACGGGGGGGATGTATACTGGGGGATGTATACTGGGGGGATGTATACTGGGTGGACATATTCTGGAGGGATGTACAATATACTGGAGGGATGTATACGGGGGTGACGTATTCTGGAGGGATGTACAGTATACTGGGGGGATGTATACTGGAGGGATGTATACTGGAGGGATGTATACTGGAGGGATGTATACTGGGGGGATATATACTAGAGGGACATATATGGGGGATGTATACTGGGGGGGATATTTACTGGGCTGACGTATACTAGGGGAACGTATATTGGGGGGGAAGTATACTGGAGGGATATATATACTGGGGGCACATATACTAGGAGGAAGTACACAGGAGGGGATGTATACTGGGGGGGATATATACTGTGGAGACGTATACTGGGGGGATGTTTACGGGGGACGTATACTGGGAGGATGTATATTGGGGGATGTATGCTGGGGAACATATATTAAAGGGGCGTATACTGGAAAGATGTATACTGGGGGGATGTTTAAAGGGACCGTATATTGGGGGATGTATTCTGGAGGATGAATACTGGAGGGATGTATACTGGAGGAATGTATAATGGAGGGACATATACTGGAGGAATGTATAATGGAGGGACATATACTGGAGGAATGTATAATGGAGGGACATATACTGGAGGGATGTATACTGGAGGGATGTATACTGGAGGGACATATACTGGAGGGACATATACTGGAGGGATGTATAATGGAGGGACATATACTGGAGGGATGTATACTGGAGGGATGTATACTGGAGGGACATATACTGGAGGGACATATACTGGAGGAATGTATAATGGAGGGACATATACTGGAGGGATGTATACTGGAGGGACATATACTGGAGGGACATATACTGGAGGGATGTATACTGGAGGGATGTATACTGGAGGGATGTATACTGGAGGGATGTATACTGGAGGGACATATACTGGAGGGATGTATACTGGAGGGATGTATACTGGAGGGACATATACTGGAGGGATGTATACTGGAGGGACATATACTGGAGGGATGTATACTGGAGGGATGTATACTGGAGGGATGTATACTGGAGGGATGTATACTGGAGGGACATATACTGGAGGGATGTATACTGGAGGAATGTATACTGGAATGACAAATACTGAGGGAGTTTATACGGGGGGATGTATACTAGGGGGACGTAAACGGGGAGAGATTTATACTGGGGGGGATGTATACTGGGGGGACGTATACTGGAGGGATGTATACTGGAGGGATGTATACTGGGGGATGTATACAGGAAGAGATTTATACTGGAGGGATGTATATTAGGGGGATGTATACGGGGGAGAGATTTTGTACTGGGGGGGATGTATACTGGAGGGATGTATACTGGGGGATGTATACGGGGGAGAGATTTATACTACTGGGGGGGATGTATACTGGAGGGATGTATACTGGGGGATGTATACGGGGGAGAGATTTATACTGGGGGGATGTATACTGGAGGGATGTATATGGGAAGAGATTTATACTGGAGGAACATACACTGGAGGGGTGTATACTGGGAGGGATGTATATGGGGGATGGGTTTATACTGGGATGATGAATACTGGAGAGATGTGTACTGGAAGGATATTGGTGTGGATGGCGGTGGACAGTAGTGTAGGGGGCGATGGAGATTGGTATTGGTGGTGGACAGTGGTGTAGGGGGTGATGGAGATTGGTATTGGTGGTGGATGGTGGAGGGCAGTGGTGTAGGGGCGATGGAGATTGGTTTTGGTGGTGGACAGTGGTGTAGGGAGTGATGGAGATTGGTATTGGTGTGGTGGACAGTGGTGTAGGGGTGATGGAGATTTGGTATTGGTGGTGGATGGTGGAGGGCAGTGGTGTAGGGGGCGATGGAGATTGGTATTGGTGGTGGACAGTGGTGTAGGGGTGAGTGATGGAGATTGGTACTGGTGGTGGACAGTGGTGTAGGGGGTGATGGAGATTTGGTATTGGTGGTGGATGGTGGTGGACAGTGATGTAGGGGTGATGGAGATTGGTATTGGTGGTGGACAGTGGTGTAGGGGGCGATGGAGATTGGTATTGGTGGTGGACAGTGGTGTAGGGGGTGATGGAGATTGGTATTGGTGGTGGATGGTGGAGGGCAGTGGTGTAGGGGGTTGATGGAGATTGGTATTGGTGGTGGACAGTGGTGTAGGGGGTGATGGAGATTGGTATTGGTGGTGGACAGTGGTGTAGGGGGGTGATGGAGATTGGTATTGGTGGTGGACAGTGGTGTAGGGGGATGGATAATGGTATTCGGGTCGTAGAAAGGAGGAGGTGCGTGGTGTATGGAGATTGGTATTGGTGGTGGACAGTGGTGTAGGGGGTGATGGGATTTGGTAGCGTCGTGGGGTGGGAGGGCAAGTGGTGTAGGGGGCGATGGA